AATAATAATAATAATAATAATAATAATAATAATAATAATAATAATAACAACAACAACAACAACAGCAACAGCAACAACAATAATAATGTGTAAGGCTTTATAGAGTGGTATTAGTACCTCCCTTGATCTTGATTATATCCTGTTAATGCAATTTAGGATTGCGTTGGCTTTTTTGGCTGTTGTAGGACTCCCTGTAACCTTGTTTGATCCATCCACAGGAATGCTTGCCAAATAACCTGAGGCTTGGAACAAATTCTTTAATGGGGCTTGTTTGGTTTGCAAGGGAGCATCCCGGGTGCAGCTAACCTATTCTGGTTTGTTCAGAAGCCCCCATTTAGCGCAAGGTGTGAGTTGACCCATCATAGCAGTGTCTTCCCCAACGTTCCTTCATTACCCCAAACCTCTTATCCAAAGGATCTTCAAGTCAGCACGTTTAGTTTAGTTTTTTTTAACTACCGAATCTTCTTTCTGACCCCATGAGGGATAGAAACTTGATTTTTAGACGAAAGCTAATAACTCACTCTCTGGGACATGCAAGCTGGGGGATTCTGGGAGTTGAAGGCCAGGCGTTTTCAACTTCAACATTGCCAAGGTTGTCTGTTCATTTTTGTTAAGGAGGTGGACGGGACAGCTCCAGAAATCATGGGTGCTCCGTCACTGGAGGCTTTCCAGGAGAGATTAGACGGCCATTTTGTGGTAGAACGGTATAGGGTCTCCTGTTTGAGCAAGGGGGTTAGACTAGAAGACCTCCAAGGTCCCTTCCAACTCTGTTATTCTGTTAAAAAAAAACACCCCGAATGCCTTTAGATTCCACCGTTGCATTTTTAAAATTGCCTTTGCCTGTTAAGTTATGTGGGATCCGTGAATCTGGGGTATTTCTTTTTTAAACTTGTTTCTTTTCCCTCATTTTCTTTTTCTTGCTTGTGTGTGTGTTGGGGAGATTGGCTTGGCAAAACGGCAGCCTTGGACTCGGTTGTGATGAGCGTTGGCTGGCTGGGGAATTCTGGGAATTGAAGTCTTAAAGTGGCCAAGTTTGAAGACCCCCCCCCCCAGTATAGGGTCTCCTGCTTGAGCAAGCGGGTTGGGCTAGATGACCTCCAAGGCCCCTTCCAACTCTTGTTATTCTGGTTTTTTTTTTAAATAATAATTTGCATTCTTTCCCAACGGCGGAACCGAAAACAAAAGCTCCGAGCTTCGATCCAATTTTCTGGAAATGAAAATAATAATAATAATAATCGCATTTTCTCTCCCTCCTTCCCTCCCTCCTCCTCCTCCTCCTTTCCCAAGTTTGCTCTTCCGTTGTGTTTCTTTTCCCCCCCCTCCCCAGGTCTCTGCCTTGGCCCCGCCCCTTTTCCGCTCGGCAGGGGCTTTCCCGTTCCAAGAAGTCTGACCTCATCGACGGGGCCTCGTCCAATCAGGAGGCAGCAGCCGGCCCAGCAGGGGGAATTCCAAGGAACGCTCGGCCCCCCTTCGCGACCCAAAAGGACTTTTCTCTCTCTCTCTCTTTTCTTTTCTTTTCTTTTTTTTCCTTTGAAAGAAAGGAAAGGGGAACTTAGAAAGGAGGGGAAAAAAAATAAGTTAGCACTTTTGGGGGGGGGGATTTTTTTTGGAGGGGGCTGGCAGCCTGCGGGGACTGGGGGGCTCCGCAGGGGCATGAAGCCGGTGGCCGGAGCGAAAGCAGCCCGAGGCCGGGAGATGATTCTTCTGTAGGTAGGCGGGGGCGAGAGAAAGTGGCCGGGCGGAGGAGAGGGTTGGCCGGAGGTGGGCTGAGTTAACGCCACGCTGGTTCCTCCGGGCTGGGAGAGAGGCAGCCGAGCCTGGGCAGCGGGCGAGGGTCCCTCGGCTGGAGGCAAGCTGCTTGCCACCTGCCCCGCCCGGATTCCTGCATTTTCTTCTCCTGTCATGTTGCAGAGATTAGCAACTTAATAACGAAAGAAGATTTAACGCAATACAATTAAATTACAGGTACAGTATATAGATAACGTGTAAGAATATATACTGTAAGCCATGTTATGATTGGACTGTACGGGACTAAAACGGATAGAATGACAAGTGTATATAGACTGCAAGAGTCTTTCAAACTTGACAGCTTTTAAGACTTGTGGACTTCAACTCCCACCATTCCTCCTCCAGGCATGGTTAGCTCAGGAATTCTGGGAGTTGAAGTCCACAAGTCTTAAACTTGCCTGTTTGGGTGGAGGGTTGGACGAGATCAGGGGTCTCCAACCTTGGCAACTTTAAG